ATCACAGTTCTTTCCACCTGACAAAATTTTTTAAACTAGATACTGAGTCTATTCATTCTCATTTCTTTTTATAAGACACATTGCCACTCTTTAGGGACCCAGCTACTCCAGGTCTTCATTTTCCTGTTCTGGAACAAAGGGTGATTCCTATGGTAGATCTATTATATAATACTTAGGTTTGCAATACATTGAAGAAAGACCCCCAAATTTACTAGTATTACTTCAGAAGAATTTTAATATCACGGCACAACTGAAAGATGGCTACTGCCTTTGCTATTGTTAAGGAAAAAAGTTTAAAAGAAATAAAGCAGAAATTTCACAGAAATTTCTGCTGTCATTGATCCTGGCATTAACATGGACAACGCTGAGGTGCTGAGACACCAATACTATAAAAGGGGCTGTGAAGTCACTTGCCATCCCTCACGACAAGAAGGAAATGAACACATTCTAGGTACTTACTCAAGGAACAGTGGCCTGGGCAGGGGTTTTCGTAGACAAGCAGACACAGGTTCAAGTCCCAGGTCGGCTATTTAGTAGCTGTGTGGCCTTTGACCTTCTAGTCCCCATTCCTTTTATCTGTAAGTGGGGAGGGGCTGACTGATTACAAATCGTGTGTTTTTGGCACATCAAGCACTATACCTGGTACAGGGCCATAATTATTATCACGTGGCACACAGTATTTTATCTACATGTGTTATGTCAATTCTCACAACACACCCTCAAAAAGATGTTATTTCCTCTGCAAGGCTCCACCACTTGCCCCAGGACTCAAAGCTGTTAGATGCCATGTTAGGATGTCTCTTTCACCTGCACATTTTCCTGGCTGGCTGGCTGCAGCCCCTTGTTTCACACACCATCCTATCACTAATTTATCTATTAAAACAGAAGGAGACATTTTCTGGATAAAAAATAAAATCTAAAAAGCGAACAAATTTTCAGCCATCTGCCTGGAAATGTTATGTAAAGGGCTATTTGGATCAGAAAGGCAATGTTATTCACCCCTTTTCCTTTTAACATGAAGTTCTATCTGGAGAAGGTCTAGCTAAGAAATTAAAACTGCAACGCTCACTCTGGCAATGAGTGCTTAGCTCTCTGCTGTATTAAAATCTGGGTGATCCATTGTCTGATTGTGTCAGAATCTTCTCATTGTCCCATGTTTCTAAGAGAATGAAGTATACACCTCTTCTGATGCTGGCTTTTATGCTCTTCCGGGGAGGGTGGTTTTAGGGAACAATCTGAAGTAATGTGTGTGTGTATTAGTCGCTCAGTCATGTCCGACTCTTTTTGAACCCATGGAAAATAGCCCTCTAGGCTCCTCTGTCCATGGAATTCTCCAGGCAAGAATACTGAAGTAGGTTGCCATTTCCTTTTTCAGGGGATCTTCCTGACCCAGGGATTAAACCCAGGTCTCCTGCATTGCAGGGGAGATGCTTTACTGTCTGAGCTACAAGGGAAGCATCATTCAAATCAACTTGCCAGAGTTAAGAAATTAAAACTGCAACGCTCACTCTGGCAATGAGTGCTTAGCTCTCTGCTGGATTAAAATCTGGGTGATCCATTGTCTGATTGTGTCAGAATCTTCTCATTGTTCCATGTTTCTAAGAGAATGAAGTATACACCTCTTCTGATGCTGGCTTTTATGCTCTTCCGGGGGGGGGTGGTTTTAGGGAACAATCTGAAGTAATGTGTGTGTGTATTAGTCGCTCAGTCGTGTCCAACTCTTTTTGAACCCATGGACAATAGCCCTCTATGCTCCTCTGTCCATGGAATTCTCCAGGCAAGAATACTGAAGTAGGTTGCTATTTCCTTTTTCAGGGGATCTTCCCGACCCAGGGATTAAACCCAGGTCTCCTGCATTGCAGGGGAGATGCTTTACTGTCTGAGCTACAAGGGAAGCATCATTCAAATCAACTTGCCAGAGATTCAAAATTAAGCCAAAAACAAACCTGGTTTTAGTCTACTATATGGTTCATATTCCTGTTCCAAGGCACAAACAACCATTTAAAAAATTCTGTGTACTGCACTGCTATCCAAGTGAAAAGCAAGAGGACCTATAACAAGGCTTTTGGTGGACTTTTCCTGAACTGTTCCCCAATCTTCACTCTTCCCTGAAGAAAAGTCTTGTTGATTTGCAGAACTGCTGAGATGGTTTAGGAACTCACAGCAAGGGAGCCTGGGAAATACAACCCAGCTGAGAGAACCACCCGCCCCTTCAAGGAGACCCAAACAAATTTCTTCACTTCGTCTATATACTACTTGACCAAAACCCTGTTGATCAAACAAAAAACTTAGGAATCACACTGATTTCCCCCTTCTCTTCATTTCCTACAACCAGTCCCTGAGCAAATCTTAATGTCTCTATTTCTGAAATGTTCTCAGCATCCATTCATTTCTACCCATCTTCAAAACCATTCTTCTGCTCCTTGCATCTCTCTCCAGGGCTGCTGCGGGGCTTCCTAAATGGTCCCTGCTTCCGTTTCTGCCTCCTTCTAATCCATTCTCCTGTTAACTCCTGTCTTCTTTTCAGCATGCATCACCGTCTTGTTATTGTGATCATTTCTTTATGTCGTTATGGTCTGTTTTCTCTACTAGGACACTCCACAAGGGCAAAGGCCAAGTCTGTTTTATTCCGCACTGTATCTCAACTTTGAACACACTGAAGCTTCTTGAGAAATTCCTATGGAGTAAATGAAAAAGGAAGTGAATACAGAATTTTAAAAATTAAATCACGTTTGGAGTTTGCCTACTCAGAAAATTTTCCTAAGATTTATTTCCCAAAATGGTGGGACCTTGTATATTTTGATGACTCCTGAAAAGAACATGAAAACAATACACTGTAAACACAATTTGGAGCAGGGGTTGCAAACACAAATGTCTCGGAGCTCAAGCAGGTAACAAATGGGGAGGCTGTAATGTGTTGGCCACAGTGAGTGGTGGGGACCCTCACAAGCTGGAGACCCCCAACTTCCGTTAACACAACCTTATCAACTCCAGCTGACTGTATGTGAGTGACAATAAGGACCCAGGGATGAAAGATCTTCCAAGTTTTTAAAGAAGATAGAAAGTCAGTATATTATTTAGAATTAGGTTTGACTGGGAATAATGACCTGCAAAGTCCATCAAGTCTTTCCCCTCCAAGTCCGTCTCCTAGCCATGCTAGACCTTCCAGCTGGGAAATCCCTCCTGTGATAAGGGTAGGAAAACTACTGGATCTTCAGGCAACTTCCTCACTTGAATCCTTGTTCTGCCATGTGCTGGCTGAACAGACCATAAATACGTTTTAAACTGTAAATGGGAACAGTGTTCCCCTTACCTGTTTCACGAGGATTTGGGGAGGACCCTCGGGTATCACTTATGTAAAAGCCCATTGTTTATTTATTTTAAAATATAATTTACTTACTTGGCTGGCTGGCTCTTCCTTGCTGCGTGGGGGCTTTCTCTAGCTGTGGAAAGCAGGGGCCACTCTCTAGTTGCGGTGCGAGGGCTTCTCATTGCAGAGGCTTCTCTTGTTGCACAGCACGAGATCTAGAGTGTTCAGACTTCCGTAGTCATGGCACATGGGCTCAGGAGTTGGGCTCCCAGGCTTGGTTGCTCTGAGGCATGTGGGATCTTCCTGGATCAGGGATTGAACCCAGGTCTCCTGCACTGGCAGGCAGATTCTTTACCACTTAGCCACCAGGGAAGCCCAAAGCCCTTTGTTTAAAAGAAACAAGATAACTAAGCAGCTATGTACACAAATTTAGGATTCTAGTAAAGATTCTCTGTAGCAGTCCATGTGTTTGAAATCCATGACTTTATTGACACAAACTTTGCAATAGAAACTGTTACCGTAATAGGACAGTAAGAATCTTCCTGAATCACAGATACCTGAAAAAGTTGCCAGATGCATTTCCAGTAACAAGGTTTAACTTCTGATCTCGGGTGAGATCCAGATTGTTCTGGAGCGGAAAAGATCATGTAATGCCCTTCATTCCCCTCTCCCCCAGAAGTGGAAACTGTTTCTAGATAAACCAGAGACATCCTCTCAAGTTAATAAATTCCAAACAACATACAATAGTTAAGTGACGCAAAAAACAAGGTTGCAAAGAGGAAGGGGGCTTAGCTGGCAACCGGCAGGGTGACTGGTGCAGGAACACCTTGCACAGAAACACAGTGCATAAGCCCTTGAATTTGCAGGGTCGATGAACACCAAGCTTTGGCAGTGGGTGGCTCCTGCTGAGTAATGCCAGAGGGGACGCCAGAGTCACAGGTTTTGCTTTATTATTATTTCTAAAAGTTTCAGAACCTGAAGTTCTCTAAAAGCCCTTTCTCAAAGAATCACAAAATGATAAAGACTTGGGAAAACTGTAGTTTTGTGTATGATGGAGTCTTGTAGAGTGATCAGAAGGAAGCCCAGATCTGGAGTTTGAGAGAAACCTAGCTCGACTATAAAAGTGAGGTTATATATTTCACAGAGCAATTCACACCACATATATCTCAGCGTCTAAACCAGCCTCCTACTTATTAAGTTCACTGTCAGATTCAGGATATACAACCGCGACTTCGTGCATGTGTGCTAAGTCACTTCAGTTGTGTCTGACTCTTTATGACCCTATGGACCACAGCCTACCAGGCTCCTCCGTCCATGGGATTCTCCAGGATAGAATACTGGAGTGGGTTGCCATCTTTTTTCTCCAGGAGCTCTTCCCCACCCAGGGATTGAACCCGTGTCTCTTCATCTTCTGCATTGGCAAGAGGGTTCTCTACCACTAGCGCCACCTGGGAAGGCCACAGCAGTGACTGGCCAGACTCTAAATCTCTCAGCATCTGCCTTACACAGGGTTGTCATTTAATGTTTAGTGAATAAATATACAATCCACTGAAGGAAGGAAGGACACTGCCTGCTTGTGTTTGAGGAATAACATAGCTGGCAGGAATGGAGGCCAAGGATCTGAATTTTTAGCCAGCTTGTGTCAATTCTCCGGACTATGTTAGATAAACATACACCATCAGACTGCGCATTTCTGCTAAACACGGAGTTTATTGGTATCATTCAGTACAACTTTAGTCCTGCCTTTCCCAACCTCAGACATGTTGACAGTCCTTTAAAAATCAGCTACATTACTTTGGAGGAAAATACGTCCACTTAACATGTTTAAAGAAATGCTAGAAAATTTTATTCCTATCAAAAAAATTTTTTTTATTTACCCCCTCAGCTACTTGACTTCTAACAGAGTACATGTTGATCTAAAGCCCATGTGACTTCACACCAACCAGGTACTAACTTCCTAAAGGGATTTCTTTGCAGATACCAAATGACACAGTCCTGAGCTATGCAAAGAGGCCTAAGGGAAGCCAACATGTCCCAGATTTTCTCCCTCTTGTGAGCCCACTCTTTGATTGGGCCAAAGGTCTTACTGGGGAGAAAAAATACTCAAAAAAACAAGCCAAGTGAAAAACTGGAAAAATGCAACGTCTACAGAGCCCTGAGGGCATCTGAAGTGACCAAAATTGTAATATTGTTGTTCAGAGGCTGATGTGGACCCCGGCCTGGGGGGATGCTGAAGACAAGTGAGAGAGAAATGGGTGTGACAGTATCCCCGAGGCCTCCTGGGGACACATCGGTTGCTGGTGGGGTTGGTTCATATAAAATTGGATCTGAATCTGTCTCATGCTGAGCTAAGGAAACAAGAGTAACAGTTTTCCTGTTTCTTGATTCCTCATTCTAGAAAGTTGGGTGAAAGCCAGCTGTTAAGTAAGCTTTGTGATAGTAGTACTTTAAAAAAAGGAAGAATGAAGGAATCAGGTGGCCTTAAGCGGGGCATACTACCGTGGCCAGGAGAGCACAGAGCCGACTCAGCCGGAACCCCCTCCTACTTTGCTGTTCCCTAAACTGGCCCGTGGCTTTTGCTCACCATTTTTCTATCAGACCACACTGCAGGAGTTACAAGAGGCGAACTGAACACATATTTGTGGTTTATTACCCTATGCGAACACTGTGCCAGTGCATTTATGCGATATACAGGAGGCTGAGAATGTCTCAACCGGCGGAGACAGCATCCCGAAGCCCTCGGCCGTGCTCCCACGGAGCACGGGCAAGCTCTTCTTCAGGGTTCCTTGACGATATCCAGGATGTGAAGGGCACCAGGGAAGTCCCTCTGCCCTTCAGCTGGTGGAACACTCTGCTAGTTGATGCAGTTCTTTGTGATTCTTCGACCTCTGTCCACCTGTCGGATGCTGTCTGCGACATTAATGGTGACTTCTTTTGCAGACGTCCGCTTAGTGTCCCTTTTAGCCTGTTAAAAAGTTTAATGCATTACAGTATACTAACACATATATATGGAATTTAGAAAGACGGTAACGATAACCCTATATGCAAAAAAAAGAAAAAGAGACTCAGATGTATAGAACAGACTTGTGGACTCTGTGGGAGAAGGCGAGGGTGGGATGTTTCAAGAGAACAGCATCGAAACATGTATATCTAGGGTGAAACAGATCACCAGCCCAGGTTGGATGCATGAGACAAGTGCTCAGGCCTGGTGCACTGGGAAGACCCAGAGGGATCGGGTGGAGAGGGAGGTGGGAGGGGGGACCGGGATGGGGAATACATGTAAATCCATGGCTAATTCATTTCAATGTATGACAAAAACCACTGCAATGATGTAAAGTAATTAGCCTCCAACTAATAAAAATAAATGGAAAAAAAAAAGTTTAATGCAGTGAATTGAGTTACTAGGAAATATCCAAAGGTCCTCATACTGGCATTAATCTCTTGAATTGTTACACACACACACACACACACACACAAACAGAGGCAGGAAGAATAACTCATAAGGACACATGCACGTATATTCCTTTTCATAGGTTGTTCCGTTGAATCTCCAAGAAGTGCTTAGTAAAGCAGTGTTGAAGGAATGAATGAAACAATTAACAAAGGTCCATCAAAAGGCAATGTGAGAGATTTCACAGTTGGCTTTGGTGGAATAGCTAAGGGTTTGAGCTTTGGAGTCAGACAGACTTTGGTTTGAGCACTGACTTTAAAATTTCACTGTAGGCAAGTTTTTTCCTAACCTCTCTAACCCTTAGATGAGTTTCCTCATCTGTAAGATGGAAGATAATAATAGTACCTAACTCATAAGGTGATTATAAGCACTAACTAAGGTAATGAATATAAGACACAATGCCTGTCACTAACCAAAATGAGAAAAGAAAAAAAAAAAAGACCTGGTAAGAATTATAAGTAGAAAATAGGATAAATTATCCACTTCTTTTTTTCTTCAATTTTTTAATTAAATGAAAGATTCTTTAAATTCCATCGGCTCAGTTCAGTCACTCAGTCGTGTCCGACTCTTTGCAACCCCATGACCTGCAGCATGCCAGGCCTCCCTGTCCATCACCAACTNGGATTCGGACAGCGGGCATAACACAATAACCATTTTTCCCCCAAAACCCTATTATTGCCTCCCTTCCTCATTACCTGTCTGCACTGGTAACCACAAGTGTGTTCTCTAAATCTGTAGATTATCCACTTCTAAGCGAAGACACACTAATGATGAAAGTCCAGAATTCATATTAAACACTAAGGCACTGACTAAATTGTAGATTCCTAAAGCATATGTGCACAATCCTCACATTTCCTCTCAAGAGAAGACAACCTTAACCAGTCGGGGTTCCGGGGGAGGGTAATTCTGTGCTTATTCCTCTCAGTGATCACGTGCGTCAAGTGAGCAACAGACTGGCCTCCCAAGTCGTCATCGTGTTGGACAGAGACGCGTGTGCCCCCAACCCCCACGCCAGGGAGACCCTCTGCCCAGCTGCAGAGAGTGCAGCCATCAAACAGCCTCCAGCTGTCTCTTCAGGGAGGCCTCAGCTGCAGAAAGTCCCCTCACCCCAGGCCCTCCTTCCCCGAGGTGGCCCAACGAGAGGGTGCCGCAGGGGTATAAACGCCTAGCTACCTGACCCAAAGCAGGCCAGCCCTGACCAGCCATTTAGCTCCAGGGCTCCTCGTGGGGTGGGCTCGTGGAGGCTGTGGTCAGAGCCGCACGGTGGCTCCACTTCCTCTGCCCCACTCCTGCTTCTAGCCCCGTCTCCTGCAGCGCTGACTTCCCAAAGAACATCCCACAGGATGACATCTCAGAGCCGGTTTCCTGGAAAACAAGTCTCAGATGTGTGAGAGCATCTCTCACGGCATGAGCCTCTCCCCATTCTGGGTGTGAGTCTAGTGTAGCTAGAAGCCTCTTTTTCTTACAACATGGTCCCTGAACATAAGCCAATGATTTCATTTGTAGTGCATCCTAAGAAGTGGTGGCCTGTTGCCTCACTGGACAATAACTGCCCTGTTGTATTTAAACAGATGAAATGCAGGTTTCTAACAGATGCTTACTCCTTGGAAGAAAAGTTATGACCAACCTAGATAGCATATTAAAAAGCAGAGACATTACTTTCCCAACAAAGGTCCGTCTAGTCAAAGTTATGGTTTTTCCAGTAGTCATGTATNGCTTTTGAACTGTGGTGTTGGAGAAGACTCTTGAGAGTCCCTTGCACTGCAAGGAGATCCAACCAGTTCATCCTAAAGGAAATCAGTCCTGAATGTTCACTGGAAGGCCTGATGTTGAAGCTTAAACTCCAATACTTTGGCCACCTGATGCGAAGAACTGACTCATTTGAAAAGACCCTGATGCTGGGAAAGATTGAAGGCAGGAGGTGAAGGGGACGACAGAGGATGAGATGGTTGGATGGCATCACCGACTCGATGGACATGAGTTTGAGTGGACTCCAGGAGTTGGTGATGGACAGGGAGGCCTGGCGTGCTGCAGTCCATGGGGTCGCAAAGAGTCAGACACAACTGAGCGACTGAACTGAACTGAACATGTTGCATAAATCCTGTGTAGTGCCTGCTGGCGATGCTGCTCTCAGATGCCCTCTACTTGGCTGGTGCCTCCATCCCTCAACTGTTTTGAGTTCTGGCTGCTAATCATTCAGAGCTGCATCCTTCTTTTGAGAGTTGCCCTCATCTGACTGGAGCCACCTCACCCAGAAATACCAAACAGGTTATACCTTAATTTCTAGAGGTAGCCCAAAGCTAATGCCTGATTATGGGGAATATAAAGACTGGCCCTTTTGCCTCAAGGGGGTATAAATCCCCAATGCCATTCATACTCTGGAGCTCCCTGAGGGATCAGGCTGAGGCTGCAACTACAACTCTTCAGCTGAGCTCAGTATTTGCAGAACGTGGTCCTCTGCCCCACCCTGCATCCCACCACCTTCAGGGTTTCACCTGAGACTACGCTTTTCACTCACAGTAAAGATTATGCTTTACTTGCACAAGAAGCCTCATGTCAAGCTCTGCTTCCAGGGAACCTGACCTAAGATAATACTTCATGAGTAATTTGAGGGATGTTTACTGATCATTTTGACTATATGCAACTTTAGCCTTATTCATTGATTTCATGAGACAGGATATCATTGTTTTCCTCATCAAGTTCTCAGCACCTAGCATAGTCTGAGACATAGAAGGCCTTCAATTTAACTTTGGTTGAATAAATGGGTGAATGAATGAATAAGCACCACATTTTTGGGAATGTACCCTTTCTTTAATGATCAGTAGTCAGTACTGTCTAAGAATTTAGTCTTGTACTTGGGGCTTCCCTGGTGGCTCAGATGGTAAAAATTTGCCTGCAATGCAGGAGACCCAGGTTTGATCCCTGGGTTGGGAAGATCCCCTGGAGAGGGGAATGGCTACCCAGTCCAGTATTCTTGCCTGGAGAATTCCATGGACAGAGGAGCCTGGTGGGCTACAGCCCATGGGGTCGCAAAGAGTCAGACACAACTGAGTGCCTAACGCTTTCACTTGTCACTTAGCTCCTCCAAGCCTGAACTGGCACTATGGCCTAGCAGTGACTTTTATGTGTTTATTTTTTCCCTAAAAGCAGAAAACCCATAGAGTCCCACAACGATTTCTGTTTCCGAAATATAACGGTAGTGATTATGAGGCTGATTCCATCTGATTTCCATTTTGGGTGTTATTGCATAAAAGCTTAGAGGACTGCGGCATGGAGGAGAGACACAGAGGCCTTATTTGAAATGAGCCAAGTGGAGGGCGGCATTCCCATCAAACCAGTAGGCAGTAAGAGAGCTTTCCAGAATGGAAACGTAAACTTTCTGAACCGTAGAACTGCTTTTCTTTAGAGTTACTGGCAAGGTTTCACAAAGTTATTAAAAATTCTACACAGAAAGTGCTCTTGCTCCATGGTTCAGTCTGCCTGCATAAGTTTAAAAAATCCAAGCAAACATTTAATAGTTGGATGATCGTTAGTTTTTCAGCCTGTTTAAGAGCTAAAGGCTACAAAACAGTCATTCCCAAAAAAACTGCAGAATATGTATGGTTTGCCTCTCAAGTACACTGGAGCAATTTAAAAAATATATTATTTGGTTGTGCTGAGTCTTCTGTCTTTGTGGTGGCACATGGAATCTTTAACAGCAGCAGTTGAGGCAGGTGGGATCTAGTTCCCTGACTAGGGATTGAACCTGCCCCCTGCATTGGGAGCCCTAAGTCCTAGCCTCTGGACAACCAGGGAAGTCCATGGGGCAATTTCTTAAATCTGTGAATCAAAAGCCTGACAATGAAGATGTTCAAAGGACAAGCTTTGGGGGCCAGATAGACCTGGATTTGGCATGAGGCTTTGTTGTTAGTTGGCTTAAGAGACTGGCAGGCTACAGTCCACAGGGTCACAAAAGAGTTGGACATGGGTTAGCAACTAAACAACAAGCTGTACAAGACATTGCTTGAACCTCTGAATCTTAGCTCCCTTATCTGAAAGGGGGAATAATGCCTGTTTCTTAGTGGTTTTTGTGAGGAGGGTTTGGGAGAGAATTAAGCATGTGACTAAGCATTAATAGGGTGATCAACTTCTCCTGGCTTGCCCAAGACCATCCCATCTTCAAACAAAATCCCACATTCTGGGAACCACCTCAGGCCCCTACAAACCAGGGCAGTTAGTCGCCACAGTTACACAGCTTTGACATTATTTCCATTCACAAATGATGTCAGTCAAACATATCAAATTCAAATCTTTCTTGTTATTGAAATCATGACTGTTGGTGAAAATGAAAGTCGCTCAGTTGTGTCCGACTCTTTGCGACCCCATGACTATACAGTCCATGGAATTCTCCAGAACACTGTTGGTGGGGCTACTTCTAAATACCAACAATAATAAGAACTCTACAAGATATGTCTTTGAATAAAGAACAAACTGGAGTTCTGTATTCTAATGATGGGCACAGACAATTCCAAGCC